TTACTCCTGAGATAACAAAATATATTATTAAACTTTCAGACTACATGAACACGAGCAGTTGTGAATCTTTGGAGTGTAGGATTAGAAATCAAAGGGATCTTGTCAAATTAGATGAATGGTCTGAAATACAATAAGAAGCATTTCAGTAAAGATGAGTGATAAGTATTACACTTAAATAGGCATAATCAACTGCACACAATTACAGGAAGAATAATGATGTGGTAGACTAATTCTGCAAAAAAAGAATCTGATGGATTACAAACTCAGTATGGAAAAAAGGAAAAAAACAGTAGTTACAATTTGAATAAAACAAGTTTCATGCTGAAATATGCAAATATTTTTAACAGAAATGTATTTAACAGGCCATCAAGCGCGGGGGAGATGCTRGTATCGAGCACCTTGCCTCTGGTGCGGAGCAGAGCTGGGGCGGGGATCGCTGCCCCCACCACCTCCTGGGGCCCTCAGCAGCTGCCAAAGATGTTCACTTGTGTGCCTTCAGCTTCAGGTTTGGCAGTTTGTCTTTCATGTTCCTGAGCCATGGATTTTCCATTGAATATACCCCGTATGTGGTTTTCTATATATGACTGTACCCTTCTGAAAATTCCAAATGGCTGACACCAGGCAAATTTGGATGAAAAAATACCTTTTTTATAATCAACAAATTGCCAGCAAAGAAACAAAATTTGAAAATGCAACTTTCCTCTGCACTTGGTATAAATCCAGAACAAATGAAAGAATTTAATCGTTTTTTTAAAATTCATTTTTTTTTAAGAATGAAAATGGAAAAACACCTTTACAATCAGCAATTAATATCTCATATTGTAATTTGAGATATTAAGAACAGACTTTTAAGATGACTTTTTTAAAATTTTCATATTCATATAATTTAGAAGCCTAATTAATGTTTGGCTTATAAGAAAAAGGAAGTAAAAAAAAGGGTAAAGTGAGTTTTGATCGTAGGTACACACATTTCCAAATTCATGATTCATCTCCTCTGAATTTGTGCATTTTCATTTGTCTGCATCTTAGGTGGGCTCTTTCTAGACTGTTTCTAGGCAGTGGAAGGAGCAAACACATCTGGAAAGAAAATCATCTGACCTGTGTTAGCCATCTACCTTAGAAATGAATGCTTTTATCATTATTTTTGCTAACTGTGGAAATCAATCATGTCTGTTTCCTGCATTGAATATAAAAGGCGTCTAGACAACTACACGGATCCTCATACCTGCAATGCAGACATCTAAAGTTTTGAAGATGAAACCCAGACAGGGCAATTCAAGTGAGTCAAGCCAGGGCAGTGCTTCAGAAGAGCACTAGATCAGGGCCCGATCATAGTCAGGTTTGACTGCATGACCAGTTACTGCATGACCTCTCCTCCAGCTTAGTTAGCTCCACATTTAAATGGCAGGGGCTGCATCCATGATAAGGGATTTGAATTTTATTTACACCCACAGTTTGGAAAATAAAATAGGCCACCCTAAAATAAGATGGACACCGGGATCACTCTGTGGTGCAAGCTGCAAAGTGACTGCTCAGCATTAGATAGGTCTTCATGAGCTGTCTGTGCAGGGTAAAGTGATAAAACTCAGAGAAGTGTTTCAGAGCTTTAAAAAATGTTGARTAGATATTCTACTTGCTCAGTGTCTGCTAGCAGAGCTGATTGCCAGTAGCTGCAATGAGTTGAGGAGTTACAGTAGATAATTCAGTACGTTCCACAAATATACATGTTCTTCTATTATTCATACCATGACATTTGTTGGTTGTCTCAGGAGTAGCAAGTGAGGCTCCTATGGTTCATGAATTACTTGAATTATGCATAGTTATGGGTAGGCATTCACCATGTACAAACTGGTTTTGAATCATACATTTCCTGGGGGCAATATTTCTCATGGTAACTAGCAAACTTTTTAGGCCTGCTATGTATTAGTAATTACTACTGTGGCTGCAATGCTAGCATGCTTGCTTCCTGGTGAATGTGGGAGCCAATGTGTGTCTGAATGGTGATGGACGGGAATCAGCATTCAGAAAGCTGTCTGCCTCCCCTGCAGTATAAACTATTGCAGCAAAGTGCTGAACAGGTGTCTGCAGTCCAACTGTCACCRTAATAGCAGTCCACAAGTGGGAGGAGGCAGCACATCACACTTTACATTTGGTTCCTAATCCTGCTTTGGGAAGAAGACCAACAGCCTCAGTGTTAGCCTTTTGCTTTTAGGTACCTCTTTAGTAAACCCCTTTGCCCATCTGTAAGGGAAATGCACGTGAAAACTTATTAATACACCTTTCTGTAAGGGAAATGCACATGAAAACTTATTAATACACCTTTCACTGCATAAACACAACACAATGGGTTTATCAAAGGATAGATGTCTATTTAAAGGGTTTTTTCCCCTTGTTAAAATGCCATTTCTTTTTGCAGAAAACATTTTTACAAACGTAAAAGCCACAAGGAAACTCAAACATTGCAAGGCCTGTTGTTATGTATGAATCACTGCAGATCACCGAGCTATCTGATTTCAGTTTTTCTTCACTACTTTAAATAGAAATGTTTGTAACATCTGGAGGTGGATGAACTGTTCAAGCCTTGATGCAGGAAGCAGAGATGCTGCTTCCCAGGCGCCTGGGCAGCTGAGTGCGGCGCCGGATGCTCCCGGGGTTGCCGATCCACCTTGGAGCGTCACAGGYGAGAGCCAGGTGACTGGTAGGGCCCCCAGGCCTGACGGGGCTTTGTTGCTCCTGCATTATGGTCGTTAAGACTSCAGCCAAAATACTCATGTTTGGTAGAAAGGAAAAGTCCAGCAAGTGTCATTCCTTTGATGAAACGGAGGAGGGTTTTGTTATTTGAGATAGAAAGGCTTTGCTGGGCTAGAGAGGAAGCATCCCCTGTAGTTTCTCTGCTGGATTTCAGTAAGTGCCCTAACATGGGCCTGACATCCCTGTACATGATGGCTAGAAGTTTCATAGAAAGTCTGTAGAGTTGGGGTCATTCACTAAGCTAAGAATTCATACATAGTCAGTGGGACAAAATGGCGCCTAATTCTAGTTAGTGGGACCTAATCCTTCCTATTCACCCATAATTTAAGTAATATCCAGTGCACTGGTGCTTCACTTCAGCCCTTACCTCCCCAGGTCGTTATGGGTATGGGGAAAGGGTATGGGTATGGGTATGGGTATGGGTATGGGTATGGGGAAAGGATCAGCATCATGGTGGGAGTTTTTATCAAGTTTGTTCTTAAGACATAGAACTGCTATAAAAATTCTTTGTTAGTTTTATTCTGGGAAGATATTTCTGGCACATAGCAATAGTGGAACCTACCACAACTTGCTGGCAGCAAGTGCGGACACTTACTTTATTTGATAGATGCTGGGACAGGGAGGAAATTAACACCTGTTGTAATAAAAGACATTTATCTAATTTGTGTTACAGCAAATAACTACTGAGATCACCTCAGGAAAACAACTGTCCTGGGAGCACAGCTTGTAAACTTTCTGCATGTTTTATCTGAACAGTATGGATTTTGTGGCCATGAATTTTGAATGCATTTTGAATACTCTATCTCTGTATTTCTTCATCTCAACATGGCACTTTTTTTACTTCCATCCTACCCAAATACCAACAAAACKAGGTTCATGCACCCCAATGGGCCAAGCACCTCTCAGGAGCACTCCCTTTAAATCTCTGCAAATACCTTTTAATTAAGTACAAAGSTAGTTACTAGATGGACTAAGTAAACCCTAACGTAGAAAGTAGAAGCCTGATTGTTGTTGTTTATTATCCATCTAACAGCGTCTGTCCACTCAATCTCTGTGGATGCTGCTGTAACAGAAATAATCAGTAACAAATAATAGAATTAAGCATGTCTTACTGGGACATGCCCCTGCTGACTGCTTAGTTATGCTTATTTGTTATTTATGACTTTATGGTTGTAGTTTTATTTTTTTATAAAATTTTAAATAAGAGGGAAAGAAGTCACTGCTACTCGTAAATGTACTGGTGGAGCTTTCTGCAATTCACTGTAAGCAAATGCAAACTTTACTGTAAAATGTATTGCAAATTATAAAAGAGAAAAAAAAAAGTTGTTAAGGGGAAATATACATGTTTTCACAACAGGGCTTTAAAGAAGCAAGGCCTAATAACAAATGAAAAATCTAAGGGGCCCATTCTTGAAAGGTTGTAATAAGCTATAATTTCCACACTTTCTGGCTGCAAGTTGGAAAGCCTTTGTGTAGAAAAATATGGAAGACGTCTTACAAAAGTAAAATATAAATGCTCCTCTGTTAGAGTTAGCAGCAAATCACATTAATTCCTCTGCTATTCATTGTGATAATGATATTAATCCAGACTCTCCCTGGATACTCATGTAGATGTAATATGTAATACTATGGAAACTCTACTGTAATTTAGCATGAATTAATGTTCACTTATTGCAAAGTGTTATGGGAAAAAATATATTTGTGGACTTTATGTAGTATCATGTTCTTCCACTACAGCAGAGGCCGAGCAAGTAAAGTATGAACCTGAATAGAATAGCAGAATAATAAGCAGATGCAGTTGTACATAGAGGGCACTTAACAATCTGGCTGTGTAAAAGTGCAAGGCCCTCGGAACTGTTATATTTTCAATGGCTTAATCAAAAAAATGTTGAGGGAAACTAGTATTGCGGCTAGGGTTAATGGAATCCCTCAACGTCCTCATTAGATTTAATTAGTGTAATCAAAAATGATAACAATATTTCACAGGTGTATTGTATTGCTTCTTTCATCAAGGATCTCAAAGGACTTTGTGAGCAACTGCGAACGGAGTGTGACCTCCCACCTGTGTGCAAYAGTTGTCCTTGTCCCGTCCCAGCTCTTGGGAGATAGCCTGGAAGAGGATCCTGAAGAGCAGGTCTGCAGCAACACAGATGAGTGCAATGAGGAATTGCTGGCACTTGCACATCGTGCTCATCTAGATCCCCCAGTAACCCACTTACAGCTGCTAATGGTGCTCCTGACCCAAGGTTAAAGTTGTCTCCGAGGGACCCTGGGCTCCTCTGCAGGCACCCTGGCCCCTTTATGTGCTGCCAGATCCCTCTGCCAACTTCCAACATGTATGACAAAGATGTGGTAGGAAATAACTTTTTTGTTCTAATTTCTTAGAAATTAGAAATTTCTTTTGTTCTAATTTGTTCTAATTTCTAATTCCATTCTATTGAGTAATTGCCTAAGGTCATAGTGCTATGGATATTGCTCTTTTTTATCATTCCACCATAGTTTAAAGAAATGAACTATATAGTATTTATCTACAGTTTATAGGTTTACATTCCTCCAGGTTTTCAGCAGTTCTTTTATCCTGATATTTATTCCATATTTTTAATGATATTACAGGTTAATGGTATTATACTGCTCAAACTCTGCTTTGCTTCATTGGAACTATATGGAAATATATATATATTGGAAGCTACTATGCTTAAGTAGCTATGCAGAATTCAGTCTTGGAAGACTCAGTTTAGGAACAGGCTGCAATTCCCCCTTTGCTGTATTCCGAAGTGATACAGTAACTTCTTTGACCTGAGCACATCTCATCAGATCAAATGATTAGTATATGGTCAGTTTTTCAAAACTTCCTTAGCTATTCTCCAGCAATAGTGATTTGTCCTCCTGCATAAAATCTATATCTTGCACAAMTCTTTTTTCTTTATCTGGTAATAACTGACCACTGATTTTTCAACTATACTATGGTTTCTCGGCTACTACAGTGCCACTTTTAAATCCCCTCCTCATTTTTTAAGAATCCGTCTCTCTTCTGATTTATTCGTTTTTGCCTAATGTGGAGGGTGTTAAGTTCTTCACTTCTCCGTGCACTCGGGCTAGGAGAATGATCAGTCACTCCTTTTCAGGAGAAGGATTTGCATGGCAGGGAAACTGCAGTTCTGCTGGGAGCTAATTAATCCATCACTTTCCCTCTGCGCACTGCGTGTCTGGTCCTTTGCTTGCCTCTGAAAAAGTTAAGGAAAATGAATAGCAGGGAGAGGACTTGAGGATTTTCTTTTTTTTTCTCCTTGAAGCTGTAGATTTTTGCTGTGCATTGACTGGTGAGGACTACTTAGAGTTATGTCCAAATCCTTATTTAGAAGGAAGAAAGACCTCCTGTGTTCCCTATTAAAGGGAACAGGACTTATTCTGAGCTGCTGTGGACAAAGCAAAGTACAAAACCCACCTAGATAGGCAGCATTCTTTCAAGCATCCTTTCAAGGCTGCCACATTTCCCCTCAGTCCTTTTACTAACACGAGCTTGTTCTGCTCCTTTTCTGCCTTTAGCTTTTTTTTTCTTGCTTGCCTGATTCTTTATTCTTGCTTGACACCTCCCGTCTTTCAGAGTGCCGCTCAAATGAACATGCTCCTGCCCTTTTTACCTCCCACAAACAAGTTTGTACTATTAATTAGATTTACCTCCAAGCTCCACTATTGAGATTCTGGTGAACAGAGATGCATCTAATAAAGTAGATAGAAGAGAGTGGGAAACTGAGACTGCCATCTCAGATTTTGCTCCCAAGTCAAATGTCTTTCCTTACTTAATTATGCTCTGTAAAATTCTTTGAAGTCAYTGAATTAAAGGAGCTATGCAAGTATATGGCATAGTTAATTATATTGCATTTGTAATCAGGCCATATAAAGAGAATCCCTTGAACCACAGCTATATTGTTCCAGGCACTGCAGTCTGTGGACTTCTTCCTTTGAATTTTGTTCCATGCCAGCCAGTGGTAATAGGTTCTCACTGTATCCAAAACTCCCGCAGTCTTTTTCAGCCTGCCCTGGCCAGCTGCCCATCAACTGTTCCACCAACAAACATGTATTTCTCTCTGTATTTATTTCTTCTTCCTTTTTTTTTTTTTTTTTTTTGTCCCACAGTGCAGGCAATTAGCTATTGAATCCTTAATAAGCCAATCTAGTCCAGCCTACATGGCTATTTTGCTCCTAATCAATTTATTCGCCTCACATAGAGGGATTTATCTTATTTACAATATCACAGCTATTTGTGTAGGAGTTATAAAAGGTAAGGAGCAATTTCAGGGAAAGAAAATCCAGTTGTAGGTTTTTGTTGTTTCTGTTGAGCTGCAGTATGTGGGGGCTCATTTCTTCAATTGAGAGGGGAAATTTTGGACTTCAATCAGCAGAGTTCAGTTCCACCAAGGGAAGAAGAGAAATGCGTAATTATGCAAGCAGCAAATTGTTTGGAAAAATGCAGTGAGCTATTTTCAAATTGTCTCTTTYGAGAAGCATTTTCCTATGTTTTAGCACTCTTCTGTAAGCCTTGGAAATGGACTTCACCTATTAYCACTTGAAAGGGAATTGATTGTCACARAGGAAAAAAMAAACAAAAGAGAAAAGACAAAGTGGTTTGGGTCTGGCACCTGTGCAAGATGATTATTTGTGCAAAGTGACTTTAAACACCTCCATGGCGGTAGCCTTCAGTCCCTCAACATGTGCACAGTTTGGTCCCCGTGTTTCCTGGGCCTCACGTCCTGACTGTGTGCACATGGCTAATACTCTGGGATCCAGGCAACCAGCCAGCTCTACTTCAGTTTTGACTGCAAACCAAACTATTAACTTTCTTGGTCTGTAGTGAAAAAGGGTAACAACACTTTCCCAAGTGGTTCGTTGTTAGTATTTAAGAGGCCCAGCTAAGGTTTTTGGATTGAAACCATATCCTCCCTTCATCCCACCAAAAACAACCCACTCTTGTCCCTGATCCTCCCCCTTTATCAATGACATGACTCAGACTCAGGTACTTGATACATAATACCATCCCAGTACAAGGCTATAATTCACATCCTGCCATAAAACYAAAGGGCTATATGTAGTTTCTGCAGAAACAGCAGCAATAGTGCATGCAGAACATGTGAAAGCATCTTTTGCTTATGAACAACAATATGCTAAAGAGTTAATTTGAGACTGGCTTATGAGAACAGTATGAGCTCTTAAGACGTGAGCGTTAAGAAGCTTGATTTCTGCTTGCTTTGTTTCAGCCCAGAAGGAAAAATTCTTCTCTTAGAATTTCTAGAGGAAACTGCTTTCCTCACAAGGTCTTTTCCTCTAAATCAAGCCCTCTTCCTCCAAAGATACACACGTATTTCAAGTTTCCAGAAAGACCGTCTATTTCAGTGCCAGTGTCACTCAGTGCCACACCTGGAAGTTCGTAGTTCTCCCCAATTTTAATATATTTCATTATTCATCTAGCCATGAGGTTTTCATGAAATGCAGAATAGCAAGAATGGATCTCCTTCAGCAAAYAGAGCAGATGGAAGCTTTTATGGAGTGTTTAAAAGGGGTTAAATCAAAGATGAAAACACTTATTATAGACTAAATCCTTTCTTATAAATGCAAACCAGACCAAATTTGTATCTTTCACTGTGAACAGTGTAAAGCTGCATGGACTGTCATAACAAAATTCTTCATTATAACATACTTATCCCACAGTAGTAGCATTGGTCTGTGTTTATTGTTAGTTCCCCTTTTAGAAATAAAGCTCTTTCAATTTATTTTAGTGCCTGTCTTCTGCTGCAGAGAATGAAATGACATGAGAGGCCCCACACTTAACGTATCTTTTCATATGGTGGTCCTGATCAATGCTGTGGTGCTCAGATCCAGCTTCCAAGCAGTGGCCAGATCCCTCCCTCGGGCCAAGATGCTGTTTATATTTTTGCTTGAGGATATGGCCAGAAGTCCCCAAAGAGTTACTACCCGTTAGATTTTGGATTTCTCAGCTATTGAAGTTTGCAATGAAACTTGTCAATGCTGTTCTTCATAGGAGATACTCTCCTGCACATCAGTGCTGTAGCATCTCGGAGGGTTTCTGATGTAATCAAGTTAAAAGGGACATCTAAGCTTCTTGAAGAGAAGAAGAGGCCCACAAATGGGGTATATTTCTCTGTGCAGTTATATACCTTCTCACTCAGATTTAGACAAAAATTTTGGCATAAGAAAATTTTCTTCCAACTTTTTTTCTATCCTCTTCATCATATGGTTTGAGGTCACACCTTTACTTAATCCGGAGAGCTTCAGGAAGAAAGGCACCCAAGAGCTGAGGAGGAGAGAAAGAAACAAAGGAAGAGAGACTTGAGAACAGCTGGAAAAGACAAAATGGGGCAGAAAAGAGAGGAAAGCAAGCTGTCTGTAGCATTATAGTGAGGGAGAAAGAAATAAGGGCTGGGGAGGACACAGATACTGACAGGCCAAGTTGTCTGGGCTGARGAGAAGTTGTTCACCTCAAACTGAGGGCAGCTTGTATTTAACAATCCAGTTTTTCTTGCTTGACAAGTAGAGCGGTCTAGCGCAGCCACAAGCATTGATGACCGTCAGTCTCCTGCTCGCTCCTCCAGGTCACTTGCTGCAGCCCAAGGCTTCACAGTTGGATGCACTGAGGACCCCTCTGACCTCCAGAGGCTCCTCACTGTGGCTCAGACAACAGTCTCCCTGTGCAGAGGAAAGCAGAGAGATGTAGGCAGCTGCCAGGCGTAGGTGCTGCACAGCTCTCCATAAAGCTTGCAGCAAACYGAGCACTACAGGGTGCGAGTACTTACCAGGACGAGCCCGAATCACTGGCAGAGGCAGCTGAAATCARTAGTTGTAACCTGTAGAGTGGAGTGCATAAAAAGAAGAAATTATAAGTCTTAATGAATGGCTGCCTTGCGTATGGATTATACACTGTTAGCAATATGCTGTGTTTATAGCACATCATTAGCCCGGGAGAGCTGAGGCGGTTGAACTTTTGTGTYGCTTTCCAGAGGGCCACAGTACAACATTTTAGTGCTGCAGTAACCACTGGTTGTTACAAATCCCTTCATGAATGCATTATGGAAAACTGGGGCAGAGTGCCTCACTAGCTAGCCAGGTGCATGCCTGCTGGGSCTTTGTACTCCGGAGCAGGGAACGATGTTTTTAAAGCCAAAGTACAGTAGAAAGCCATTTTACACACATAAGCATGTTGCACAAGACTAATTTTCGCTGATGTCCCCTATYGGCATGTGAAATTTATATAGTTCTGCAATGTAGGATATATTTTTCAGGTGTTTCTTTAAGTGGGTTCCTTCTTGTATCTCATTTCACCTGTTGGTGTCCTGAAAATAGCTTACTTTGGTAAGACTATTATTTTATTGAGTGTTCATGTAAAAAGGTCTCATTGTATTTCTCTCCATGGCAAAAGGAAAAAAAAAAAAGTATTTTCTGAGTATATACAGTGCACTTTTATTTCTGCTCTGCTTTGCTCAGTGCAGAAAATCCTCCTGCTCTGGGAGAGGTACAAACAACGCCCTACACAGCTGTTAGAGGCAGCGTCTTTCTCAATGTGCCACTGATGTCGTGACCTCTCTGAAAGACCCGAGAGAGACTCCATGCATTTTTGCCAAGCAAAAATAGTGAAACCTGAGGGACTGATGGGGTTTCCTGCAGGTGGGAAAATGTTTCCAACCCATCTGGCAAGCCCAGACACTTCTTGGAGACACAGTGGAGGTTGTTTCTCTACCTTGTGCTTCATTAGGGTGACAGGAGGTATTAATGGCAGCAATTATGTATCCTCAGCTAATTTAGTATATGACAATATAAGACATCGTAAGTAATTATAGTACTAGAGAGGTTTGTTAATTTTATCCAGAAATTGAGTTGGGCAGAGAGGAACCTCATGAGGTTCAACAAGGACAAGTGCAGGGTCCTGCACCTGGGGACAAATAACCCCTGGCATCAGTGCAGATTAGGGGCTGACTTGCTGGAGAGCAGCTCCATGGACCTGGGAGTCATGGTTGACACCAAGTTAACCATGAGCCAGCAGTGTGCCCTCGTGGCCAAGAAGGCCAATGGGAAATTGGCCTTCTCTGTTGCCCAGAGAGGTTTTGGAGTCTCCTTCCTTGGAGATAGTCAAAATTCATCTGGACACAGTCCTGGCCAGTGTGCTCTAGGTGATGCTGCTTGAACCGTGGGGTTGGTTGAGATGGTCTCYAGAGGTCCCATCCAACCTCAGCTGTTCTGGGATTCCCCACCCTGAGGACTTTTTGCCTTCCTCTCCATCTGACAAGAAAAGCAAAGTGGCAAAATGAAATGTAAAAAAAGGGAAAGGAGCTAAACAGAAGCTAAAGTCTTACAGGAAGGTTAAGGCAGCAAGACAAACGGAATGTAAAAGCAGGAGAAAGAAGAGTAAGGAAGAGCTTACATTTTTCAAAGAAAGAAGGAGCCAGAGAGAATTTGAAAGCAAGTAGTCACATAGCAGCCTAGCTATTAATATTTAAATAACAAACCTAACTCTTTCGTCTGGCAGGAATTTCTGACCCTGGAGATCTCTTCCAGCCCTAATAGTATGGATATCTTAAATATTTGTTTATGGTTTGAATCAAGCTGAACCCATCTCACTATGTACCATGATACAGCATGATCCCTGTGATATGAATTACAGTACAGCAAACCACTTCATGCTTTATTTATTTAGCAAACAGGAATGAATACAAAAATTTGTCTTAAGGTCAGTAAATTGATTTGGAGCCACAAATCCAGTTCCAGCATTCACCACAAATGAAAATATGCCATACACCAAATCAGTGAATAATGGCCAATAAGCAGTTGAGCATGTGAACCTCCTTTACACTGCAACACAACATCTCCCCAAGAGTCACGGGGAAAATAGTCACCTTCCATCCAATGCTTCACTCATTTTGAACTTTGTGCTTCAGCTGCTGTCGCTTAGGTTTTCCTCTGGGATCMACACCTCAGAGATCCCTTTTAGATATTTGACTCCTGTTATAACTTTGGCCCTAGGGAAGCGGGATTGTGTCCTAGTGCTTGGCACTTTTGCAGTCATCCTGGTGGTCAGAAGGACTGGACCGGGGAGGAGGGTAGCCTGCATGAACCTGCACCCTTGGGACGTGATGGTGTCCTGTAGCACTGCCCCTGAGACYTGCAGCCAAGCACTGCCTGGTAATTGCACTGATGTCTTCCATGGTGATGAAACTGTGGCCAGGAATTGGTGACAGGGAGGACCAGTCTAGCAAGGGTACATTTTTTTAAAGAGGGGTGTTATAAATCAGGAGCAAATACAGCTACGCTGTCCTCTGGCAATCTGCAAAATTCCWTATGAACAGTTTCTAAAACAGGCTTGCTGTGTTTTCTTTTGAATAGAGGCGTATTTTGTTCTAAATTAATTGCTTGTAGAAGGCACTACTTTTAGCAATTCCTTAACAAGCTCTGTATTAGTTTCAATCACTTCTTAAGCCAAGCCACTGATTTAGCAAAATACTCATTATGTTTTCAAGAAAGGTATTATGGATATATAGATAATTTTGCAATTAGAGGTGTGAGKCTTTGCTGCTGGCTTTACAGTAATTGCTTCACATTTATGATGTTGCAGAAACTGAGGAGAGACTGGAAAACCACAGTTTTTGTTGGGAAAGAGGAGAGAGAGAACCTGAGACACATTGCACACTGACAGAATCACAGAATGAGTAAGGTGGGAAGGGACCTTTGGAGATAATCTAGATCATGTTGCACAAAGCAGGGTCATCTGGAGCGCATTGCACAGAAGAACCTCCAGGTGAGTTTTGAATATCTCCAGACAGGTACAGATTATTTGAAAAACCTGCATTGTAACTGCAAAAATCTGGATGCCAAAAGGTGATGTGGCTGGGTTTGGCGTGAGACAGTTCAAATGCTTGAATGAGTGGGAAAGTTAGAGATGTTCATGTGGGAGTGCACAGTGCAATCCTAGACTGACTTATTTTAAAATTCACACTATACAGTTACAACAAGATGCATTAAGTAGCAAAGCCGTGCTGGATACCAATAACTCCTGCAATTTCCCAAGAGCCCCCAAACCTTTGTCACAGACTGCAAGTGAACATCCACTTCTCTTATTCTGTCATCATCTTTTAAAGGCAGGTTTGAGTCAGGACCAGAGAGAATACTGGTTGCTGATTAACCCATATGACCCATCACCTAAGAGACTTGCAATGTAAAATATTACTTGAACTTTTAAAACAAATAACTATAATTTCCATTTAATTGATTTTTGACCTCACACTGCAATTATTCAATAGCAATTTACCTCAGGATAGAAGAAGCCTCGTGCAGTAGCTACATATAAACTGGTAGGAAAGATGCTGTAAAAAAATATGTGTGTAGGAGAAAGACTGCATTTATTACAGGTTAGATTACATTTGCACAGTAGCCAACTGAATGTTGTTTCCTTTTCCTGTGATGTAATTATTGAAAGCAATATAATTCACAAGGAAAACTTTGAGAAACATATGGAAGTCTGTGCTATGCAAACAATAAAAGTTCATGTTTGAAAGCAGTTCTATTGCTCTGCTTTTAGGACTGGTTTTTATGATTTATTACAGCACCCAGGAGTGTGCTTGGTGCTTTAGAGAGCAAACAAGAATAGCCAGTCCCTGCCTTGAACAGAATACAATCTAAACTTTAACAACTCCAGAGAATGAATAAAAAATAGTGCATAGGAGGCCAGCTTTTGCTCTTCACCCAAGCCAACCACAATTTAATTCAAATTCTACCCTGGATATTCAACCCATGCCTTAGCTGTTGTGTCAACCCTGCTGTTAACCATTCATAACCATCAAGGTGGTCTTAACATCAAGATAATCTGAACATCTTTCTCAACATAATCATTATGTTGGTTATGGGGTGTWTTAGTCACAACTAAAATCACTGTTATTGCCATCTACAGTCATAATAATCTGTGTGGTTGTATCTGAAGCTGTTGCAGTGTGGGAAGAATCACCATTTTTGAACTGGGGTGCAGAGAGAGTTTGGCTTCTGCAGAATAAGTAGGAGAAGGAAAGATGAGAAACTTAGACCTACAGAAATTGGGGTCTTGAGTTTCATCTCCTCCAAACATATATAAATGCCATTTAAGAAAAACTTTTGCCTATTGGATAAATTGTTAATCACCTTTCCAGACTTTGAGCCTTCTGGACTTTATTCTTACTGGTTGTATTGATCCTCAGGAATATCTTTCTTTTGAACCATTTCTCCATTGGAAACTTTGAAAAGATATAAGAAGCTTCACTGAGAGAGAGTGAGAAAAACACTGAACTAAGCTACAGGAATCATGCCTTGACTTAAACCAGCTCTTTGAAATTAACTGAAAAAGGATTCAGTGATTCTCTTGAAATCAGCTGTCTGTCACAAGCCTGTAATCTGTCTTTGTCTGCAGTAGGAGAGAATTTGGAGCGTGGAAATTGCAAGACTAATTGAGATGTGCCTTGATGTTCAGGCACTGCCAGTGGCTCATTTTTACCTCACATATATTTGTGTGTGTACCAGTGGGGAGAAGGGGTATGTACAAAGTCCTTCAATCATGCTTCCTCTTTCCACTCCTCCTGACAGGGTCATTTCTGCCCACATTGGTCAATAATGTGGTATTTRACTGCAACTTTTCAGTCTGCATATTGGATCGGATTTCCTGACTTTGTGCTCATAAAATTCACATCTGAGGTAGCTTGGTTTGGGGTTAGAAGGTTCCTGGCACAATACCAATATTGTCCCAGTAATGACAGCAAAGGAAGGCAAGAACATTTGAGTTAGTGCGAGTAGAAGTGTGAGCTTGTGAAAAATGCTAGAGCCACCTGTGTTACTTRCAACCTGCCTGAAAGCAGCTTTCCATGAATGGAATAGGCCCGAGAATGGTCTAGCACTTGAGATTTACAGATCACACTGTGTTTACATCAGAGGAGAAAACACGAGAGGATTTATGTTCTTGGTAAGGAAACGCCTGCRAGAAAATTAGAGAGTGAAGTCTGAGCATGAAGTGACCACAAAGAACATAGATGCATCTTATCAGAACTGAATTGCGGTTTTCTGCAGAAGGAGACACTCCAGAAGAAACAGAGGTGTTCAGAGTAGCAAGTGTGAGRGCAGAGTGCAGGTCCTGAAGGAGGGAATTCAAAGAGCAAAGCCAGGTGGTGGTGTCTCATAAATTCTGCAGCTTTCTGAAGAATCAGCTCATCTCTCTCTTCAAGTATTTAAAAAATGCATCTGGCTAGCAGTGATATATGGATCAGAAGTAAAGGTCTCTACTGAATGTTTTTTTTAGCACAAARAAATATATAAGGTGTTAAATATTTCAAGGTAAGTCAGTAAGATCAATGAATGGGTTTATAATAAACATCCATCTAGGAAATTATTCATCAGTGATACATGGAGAAGTAATTGCTACCAAGTAGGACAGCTAGCTCAGAAACAGGACATGCAATGGACAAAATTAAGTCACCGACACACAGTCGTGTATGTGGAAGAGAAATTAAGGTTGCCAAGAGATGGCAAATGAATGTGCTCACAGCATTTACCAGAGCAAGACAGATGAACAAAGTGCAGGGCAGAGAAAAATGGCAGTAGCTCCAACCGTTGCCTGGTATCAGCAGCTGCTTCTTCTAATACGATGCTATCTGTGTGATCCATAACCAAAGCTTTATATTTACAGGTGATTTGCATTAGAGAATAAAGCTCCTGCTTAAAAGACAAATGTGCGCTCATTAGCACTGCTGAGGAGGCACTGGGATAAAGCTTTGCAGAGAACTCTTGCTGGGCTCTTAGCATAGCTGCTACTGCTAGAGCAGTGAACTTGTGAATTAATTCCTGTTTTTAAATACTCTTCATGGAATCACTCATAAAGCACAGGAAGAGAAACAGGTTTGCACAAGGAAGAGAAACAGGKAGCTCGCCTGCCCCAAGTCGCTGTGTGTTTCAGACACACAGAAATCCACTGGTCTCTCCAAGACAGTCCTTACCTGCACAAACAACCCAATCTTGCTGGTATAAATCCACATATGAGAACAGAGAAGTTTATAGGAAGAGTGCAGGATGAAGTGTTGCCTTGACAGAAGGTCAAAAGTCCAAGCATTATTAGGACAAAGAAGGTGCCTGAATGGATCAAAAATGTCTTCTTTTTTCCAACTATATCAGCTGACCAAATAATGTGTATTACCTCTCTCTACAAAGCATGGCTGTCTGCCTATCTAAGATGAATAAAAGAACAGGACTTTTTATTTAATTATTAACATATATGCACATAGTTATTTTATATGCATATATATTTATTACACCTCCACCCTGAGAACTGCAATCAACCAGGTCCTCGTTGTGCTGAGTAGGATACAAACACAGATCTAGATATAGCTACTAAAGACAAATCCTGTGGTCTCAGGGGGAGCATTAACATGCCCAAGTTACAAGAACAGGAGGCATCCAGAAGACGTGTTCCTTTCTTTTGTTTTCCTCCGAAGAGATAAAAATAAACCAGCCTACACTTTATGCATGTCTGAGAAGAAGAGCTGCAACAGAGAGCTCAGTGAAGTCGAGCTGTGAATTGAAGTTCTCTTGAGCTAATGCTGCTGCTTAAAGGTTAGCGGGGCTGAATGAGTACAAGGAAAGGGGTCAGGAAATACGAGTGGGAGTAAGTAAGCCTGGAAGTAAATATGCCTGGCTGCCCACCTGGATGTGATGTGAGGCGACCGAGTGACTGATACGGCATGGCTGAGCACGAGTAAAAGAGCATACTGATCCAAAGTGACTTCAAGGAGGAAAGATCATGTGCATAAATGATTATCTCAGTGGCTCTACAAGTATAGGATAAGGTGAAATGACAGGATTAAATGAAGGAAAAAGGGAACATCTGAAAAGCAGGATAAATAGTGACAAAGAATAGTCCCAGATGGCCCGTTTCTGATAGTCAATGGAAAATCCATATTGACAATTGGCTTATGATTAGTATGGAAATACGCTGCATGGTACATGAATTTAGCATCCTCTGCACTTGATTTATTCCCAAAATCAAAGAATTTGAATTGTGACATGATGAGTAATTGCAAGGGGTTCTCTCTATTAAAGAATTTTCCCTAGGACTTTGTTARACTCTCTGACTTCTGTAAAGTCATTTGGTGAGCAGGGATGCGTGATGCATGCAAAGGGCATACATAGATGCTTCCCAGCATTGTTGCACCATTTCTTGCAGATATCAATAGCAGCACTTTCTGCAGGTGGGGTGGCATGTGGGAGGCAGGACACTGTTTGCTTCCCCTGCTGTCAGGCAGTTACTAGGTTTGCAAGATTATTGAGTAATTACTTTGCATTTAGTGTCTGTCTAATTATTTAGCTATTATAAATGACCACATTCTGCTCTGCTTGCTTGAACAGMCTCATGTTTATGTTGGGAAAAGGCATTGAAAATGGTTATAAAATACCTTTTGATTCATTTTTGTCAGCCTCTTAGTTCTCTGTTGTCAAGAGAGACCTAAGGCAAAGTAGTGGCACCTCAGATCCTTGCCCACAGCTGGGCAGGTGAGGAGAGTGCAAAGGGCACAGTTCGACTTGTCTGCTCCATAGATGTAGTAGTATCAAAGGAGCAGGGAGAGCACAGCTCTCAGCGTGCCCTTACTCTGGATGGAAATACAGCTAGGCTCCATATGTGAATTTAGTGACTCAGCTGGGTCAGTTTAATGAATCAGCTACCTTCAGGTTGATCTGCCCTCTCACCTGAGGAGTTACATCGCTAAAATAAAATAAACACCTTATGTGTATGTCTATCTAAATATAATTGGTAAATGCCTGAGATAKTCTTACTTATATTTTGCTCTTTCTGTTTTGTAGGACTCTCAAAGAGACTTCATCCTTTACCGTTTCCCAGTCTGGTGGGAACTGGATACTTCTGTTCCAAATTTAAACTCATTTTTATTTATTTTAAATTTAGCATCAGGAATTGTTAATATTTTATAAAATATTAACTGTTGCAGGGTAATAATTCATGCTGCTGACTTGATTTGAAGGACTGGAATTACTCTTCTCTCTTATGGTTGCATTTAGATGCCATTGGGATGCTCAAGTTTAGGATAAGGGAGGAGGGGAAGCCCAGATGCCCGCAGCAAGGGTGAGTGGAGCAGGCTGGTGCATTAGCTGGTGACTTTGCTGTTGAACTGATCTGCAGGAAGCAAATGAGGCCTGACCCAAGGGGAAGGGGATGCTCTCAAAATGAGAAGAACCAAGTGCAGGGGAAGTTACCTGCAGGAAAGCTCCTGGTGCTGTTATAAATTGACTATCGTGTCTTTTGGGATGGGAACATTATCCTTATCTCAGGGATATAAAACACTGTGCTCCCCTGATGCTGCGGGATTATGAAATCTGAAATGCTAAACAGTCAAAAATTTAAAATTCAAATATTGATGGGGAAATCAGAAAAAATGTCAGCCTCACTGTCCGTGCAGCTYTGTGGGCCTGGTACAGGTGTGAGGAACAGAAACGGTGACGCTGATCCAGGAGAAAAAAACAAATTACTGCGCATCACTTTTTTTCTGTGGAGGGAATCACTCTAACGTGGCCACTCTTTTCTTTCTTTAGAGGAGGTCTGGGCCTCTACATTGACAAAGGGGAATTTCAGGAAGCACCAGAGGAATTGGACTCTTTCTATGGGGCATGGGGGGAAGTTTTCAGGGCAAGCATAAAATGTGTGTACTTTGTTCCAACCCTACATGTTTCTGTGAATTGCAGGTGGCCTTCTCAGAATAGCTCAGAGAACATCTGAATCTGTTTTGTTGTTTTGTAATGAATAGAATAACTCCTGCAGCAACCAGGTTGCATTCCTTTGGCTGCAGCAGAATTTCCTTCACTCCAGGGCCGGGAAATAGGGGACACGTAGGATATAACATGTACCTACTTCTCCGTCCCTCTTCCTTTTCAGATCAAGACCTTGTAATGAGGCRTCTGCCTCCTCCCTGCATTGCAGTACTGGAGTCTTCTCTGCTCTGTGCCACGTGATGGTTTTCATGCCCTTCTAAGGGAAAACGATAGCACATTTATTCCTGCCCGAGCATGGCAGAAACATGGAGCATAGCCTAGGACTGCTGCACTCATGATTACACTCATGAGAAAAAGACGTTTATAGCCAGTTAGACCCAGTGAAATTTTTGAATTTGCATCGCTTCCACCCAAAAGGCACAATTTCTGCAGGCAAAAGTACAAGACAATCATTCAGGAACTAGAGCTGTCAAGAGACACAAAGCTGCAGGCCCTGCCTGGCCACCACAAGCGGATTTGCCAGCTTGCATGCGGGGTGGTGACCTTGCCTTGCTGCACGCTTCCTAGCCTCTATACAGCATCTCGTCAGCCACCAAAAAGGGTTCCCTCAGCCYGTTCTGGTTGCGTCCTGGGCCTTGATTCTCATCTCGTCCTGAGCTCAGGCAGTACGAGCAAGCCTTCAAGGGTTATTTTATTTTATTAGGCTTTRTATTTGTCACAAAGCAGCGCCTCTCCAATCTGAGACTCCAAAATGATAATGAGACAGGTAGCTAAGTGTCTGCTTAAAAAAAATCTGCAGATGTCACTAAAAGCTACCGAGAAGAGGAGGAGGAATCCTTTTAGTCTGAAGTAAAACATTTCAGTTGACTTATTTCTGTGACTGCTATTGCAAGTCTCCGTACAATTTATTCTGAAGAAGTATGCAGATCAAAGTCCTCTTCCTGCCTGTTACTACTTCCAGCTACTCGGTGAGCAGTTTCTGATCTGTGACGGTTACAAACAGGTCCCAGGCCGAGGAGTTTATGTCTCTGTTAAATGGAATTAGGTTTACTGGAATACTGGAAAGATAGATTAGGTGGGGGACGAAGGAAAAAAATGCTGTAATTCATACTTGTGTCATCAGGCCTASTGTGATAACTTGCATCATATCTGTTAGCGGCAATGACTGCTTGAGGAGTAGAGATTATTCCATCGTTACACTCTTGGGTCAGCGAAGGAGATAGGGAGAAGAAAGCAATTCAGGAGCAATAAAATGAAAGGAGTCTTGTGATTTCCTGATTAGACTTTATATTATATTTATATATTTATAACTTTGGCAAGTTGCTATTTAATCACCAGGTTTTCCTTCCTTCCTTCCTTTCATTCCACTTAAGYCAGCAGAGCTTTTTCTTTTTTTTCCTCCTTGTGACAGTGTTGCACAATGGATTTGCTGTCCATCTATTTGATGTTTTTAGCCATTATGCAATGTCTGCCACTTGGTATTTCAGCAAGTTCTCGGTGATCCATCAGAAAGGCCAACCAGCTTCTTGTCAGCTATTTTATTAGCTTCCTTTATTTTAGTATTGAAGTTCGTGGATAATAATTTTTTCTTCTCTCTTTGTTGACAGTGGGGACTCTTATATCACTTTTTAAAAGGTGCCTGTGACTATGCAGCTCTATTAAGGCTCAGTCTGTAGAGAAAGCAATTATGCCACTTTATCTGGGACTTTTCCCTCTATCTCTTGCTCTCTCTCTGATGATCTTACAGAGAAAATAATTTATGAGGCATTAAGAGGCAAAACAAGCCCTCAGAGATGCAAAGGAGGACTGGGACTAGCAATTAGACATTACACTATGTGAGTGTAACTAATCATAAAGGTAACTTCCCTCCCTTACAGTAAAACATGACCAGAATTATGGAGACTGTGGGTGTGCACAGCAGGGCAAGTCGTACATCTTACATATTCTCTAAAAAAACATATCATTGCATTTCAGAATGAGAACACAGAGAGGAAAATAGTTTTTTTTTTTCCAGGCCTTTAACAAGTCATAGTGAAAAAGGAAGCTGCTTGAGAGCCAGAGAATGAGATCCTGCTTTTTTGTGTGTGTGTCCAAGAGTTTGTCTTCCATCATTCAAAACTGTGACGAGATGGGCTCCATCTAACAGCAGTGACCTTACGGCTGGTCGCTGGCTTACCTGCTGGTGCTAGTTTTAGGGAAGTCAGACCTTTATCCCAGCAGTGCAGTGCATGGCATCTCTTCTATAYCTGCTAGCAGTGTCTCCAAAGGGGCTGTGAAATCACCTTTTGTACAGCATCTTTATTACATTATATATGGGGGCAGCATGAGAAAATTCATACTGGTGAGTCCTCTGCGTTAATGCCATAAGAAAACACTCTGGCATTTTGGATTACCCTTCGTAAAAGTTGCTACATGAAAATGATGCTGAAATACTATTGTTTCCTCTCTGCTGTGACTCCACATCACTTTGACAAAAATGAGACATTCTGAAGGTTTCTTATCATTTGTGAAAGTCCTGTGACAGAGATGACACTCACTGGTGTTTTTCTGAAAAAGCATATTGAGGGCTAGCACCCTGCCTGTGTTCTTTGATAGCTATTTCTGGCCTTTGAGGACAGAAAAAGGGGTGAGGACCATGCTCAGTCTTAAATGCACCCTAGTCTAGTGATGAGAAGACTGAGCAGAACAAGTGCAGAATGGGGCATCCAGGGCCTAATGCGTTTTTGCACAAATGTAATGGATGTTTTCAAATAAGCTAAGTTTCAAACAAGCTAAAACTGTTTCTTCCTTTGCATACTGGGATAACAAGACAAGTTTTAGATTAGGCTAGCTGGCATATATTAGAAGCAAAGTAGAAAAAAATATATACATTACCTATAGCTTTTCACAGATGCACCCTGGGAAAGCCAGCACTGCTCACTGTGCTCCTCTTCATTCTTTCTATAACGCTCAGAATCACAGCTGGGAGGCCTCTTGTGTAAGTTAGTCATTTTTCAAACTCTTTGAAGCCCTAAAGCATAATTTGAGGTTCAAAGTTTAAGTTTAGTACTAATAAATACTTTTAGAGTCGTGATTTTCCTGAGGTGGGTTATTGCAAGTTTTCTCCAGCCCTTCTGGGTCTTGTAGAATAGCCCTTTAGAAACAGGAAAGATAGATGGTACCTGTAGCTATACTTGGCTGGGGGAATAATTAGTAACATTCAACTTCCAGAAAATTGAGTTATCCACTTACACACCTGCCGAGCGCCGGCAGCTGGGGAGGTTGGAGAAATCACCTCYCCGGGAAAATACTGCTCACGAGTCAAAAAGCTTCATCAGAGGGAAAGGCACCTCCAGAGGGGTCCGAATCCTGCAGCTCTCCTCATTTCTCCATGTGACCTTCAAACCCGCTCATTTCTTGGGGAAATCCAACCGGTGGTGAAAGATTTATTCAGTCGTTGCGTGACCTCCTCCGTGGAGATGGAGCTCCCTGTGTCAAAGAGAGGGCAAGCCCAGCTAGCCAAAAACTTGTCATTCGAACAGGTGAGACACAGAGACCCACACAGCCAACACGCAGTCCCTTGGCTTCCACCTTGTCATGCCACGTGCTTTCTGCGTGCCGTGGCACGAGACGCCGCCTGACACCCCCAGCAAGGGTGAAGCCCCGCTCGGGGCTCTGCTGGGAAGTCGCTCGCACGGCTTCTTAGTTTGCAGTGTGTGTAGAAAGAAATGCCTCAGTATTTAATCTACTGCCACTATAAGTAATGCCTCGTGTCACAGGTACCTCGCTGTGTAGATAAATGTATCTCCTGTGTGCTTCCAGCTTAGCTTAAAATAATATTTTTTCCTTCATAAATACTAAAAATAATTTTTACATATAACTGTACCCTGAAACTGGGCCCATACGTGGGAGGAGGCTCTGTGAGGTGGGCTGGGTCCTGTGCAGCCCGATGCGGTGCTCACCTAGCCAAGGACCTGGTTCTGGTCCTGCTTAGCCCAAATTTACCCCATGGTTTTGAGACTGGAGGCAAATTGCAAATTGGTGACAAGCAAATTTAACTGCAAAAGGAGAAGTAAATCATAGGTAGCATCTCTCCCTGGGGACATGTGCTACATACACACTACCGTGCTTCCAGCTGAGAAAGCCCTCCTCAGTGTGCCTCTTTAATCAAAGGCAAGCAGAGCTTAATACAAATGCTTTAGTAGCGTGCACCCCCATTCTGCTCAATCGTAGAAAAGCTCCTTTTTTTCCTGTTTTAAATTCAGAGCTTCAGTTCCCTTGATGCAAGAGGTTAAATACTTCAAATCACATCAGTGCCCTGAGCTTGTGACGGGCCAGCTCGTTGGTGATGACTGCAAGTGGAAACATTAGGAATGCAAATTATCAGCCAAGTGACAACTGTTAAGCTGTATTAAATAATATGTTGCTTCTGCTTAGCAGATATACAGATAGAAATCATGCTACTGTGAAATTTTGTGGGGGGAACAGAGTTCAAAGTACAGGGAAAGCATTTGTTCTCTTGTCTGCTCACTTGCTGTTTTCAAAACAAGTATCACCTCAAGAAATCTGCAGCTGAGATCTGTCACCAGGCAGTGTTCTTACTAATAAATACAGGATGTTGATGAATAAAGAAAAATACTAAAAGGAGCTTTGATTCAAGAGTCAACGAAATTATATAATACCAGCTTTACCTTGCTAGACCAGTTCAGTATTCTCTGTGAGTCATTGGTGGTGCATACAGGATTTAAAGGCAAAGGCTCCTGGCTGCCGACTGTTTGCTCATGTCATAAACTACCAGTGCTGATAGAGCTTGTCTAAATAGCTCTGTATGTCACACTGATTTCACCTCTTCCTTCCACCAGGAAAAAGAGATCCCAAACTGAATGGAAATCCTTTTACTTTAAATGTGCAAAGAGAGTTCATTACAAAGTCAACATCCAACAGTAAAGGAAAAGCTCTTCGCACAGTTTCTTTTGCTGGTTTTAATGGCCTCATATTCTGCTTTTAAGTCTTCAACCATCAATGTGAAAACCTGATGGTGACCTCAAATCCAAAATGCACCTACCAAACTGTGGTGTCTTCCTGCTCCTGCCTCGGCAATTTATTGCTGCTGGAGGTCAAGGAGTTAAACACCACAGCTAGATTTAAAAATTACCTGGATGATTTTATGACACCTTTCATCCCCTTCTGGCATCACACAATTCAGCAAGTGAATTATGGTTTAGTTATTACGTAGCATTTTAATACTGACTCCAGTGAGATCAGGATCAAACCTTCTCATCTTCCGAATCACAGGGGTAATGTTATACCTGTGCCTGCTGCACTCGATGCACCGTTGAGCCAGTCTGCTGTGGTAAATCCTGTGTTCCTGCTGCATCAGAGCGGTTTGTGTACCCATCAGGGCCGTACAACGTCACTGTGCCAAAGCTGATGAAGGTGTTAGTGCCAGCAAGTAACACCGGAGCCTCTCACTGAAACCGTGTTTTCCTATAACGT